AATGTTCATGCTCGAAGGAGTCTAGTCTTTAGACCAAAACACAAACACTTTGAACATTAACCGTCAGTGCTAAGTTGTTGATATTTAATTAATTTAAACGTATAATTAGTACATTCATGCAGATGATGGGTACTGTTGTCCAACAGATTTTGGTCTATAGACCAAATAAACAAAAGATATCAAATTAGATATTAAGGATCTTATTTTTCTGGTTCTCAGACTAAGATAAAATTGAATGTGAAATACTATGCGTGTTTAAAACGCTTTCTGGTTCTTAGACCAAAAAGAACAAAGCGAAAAAATTACTCTGATCACTCCTGCTCATAGATTACAAATGTGCATAATCAACCCGTAACATTTTGTTTTAATATGCATATCTCTGGTAAACAAAAACTTATATAAAAAATCTGCTAAAACTTTACAATGTACCATACCTGTCGAAGTATTAATATAGAATTAATATAAATCTCATAAAGCTGTATCTGCTTTCAGATCTATTGATTAAATTGAAATTGCATTATTAAATTGGAACACTTTATGTATAACTCAAAAATGAAACAATTGTTTTTTTTTCTCTTATATTGTTTTTTTGTTTTTGTTAGTTTTTTGTTTGTTCGTTGCTTGAAACAAGTTAGTACCGAGTGTATATGTCATTTGTCTCTTGAAATATGTGTTGTGCTTATGTAGTAGATGTAGATACAAGTCGCTTGATATCAAATAGCAGAAAAGTCAATATTTTCATATCATTTATCAATTAACATCACCATCCAACTTATAATGCAACTAATAAGCACAGTGTATCTAAAGTTACTAAATATTACAAGTATTTTCGATCGTTTTCTTTCTGTTTTTCGCAAATTTCTCTGGTGTTCATCATAATAAAAGCAATATCTTTGTGACAATGAAAACTATAAATTCCTTAAACGCAGAATTAAGCTAGATGATACTTGGTTTCTTCAACACTTATTAACAACTACGCATTATTTACAGTATTTATATTATTTGTATACAGAGAACAATAAGAATTAAAAAAAAAAAAAAAAATTGTTTGTTAAATATTTCTCTCTGTTGATGGCAGATGCGTACTATTCATCCAACGATGGTCATTTTCCAATATCTTTCAGTTTGGTCCAACATACTTTAATGTTTTATTCTTAAAAGATACGAGTCTTAATGAATACTAAATTGTTGACTATTTTTTCTTAAATGATGAAAATATAATGATAATGAGTAACCGTCTTCGATCAATGAAGTGTATTTTTGTCCGTTCAAAGTAGTACCAACTGTCATATATGACTGATGAATATTCTAGTATTTGTGATTATGTAGCATGTCATGGTTTTATCGGTAATTTTTAGATAGATTTTGTTTCCTCAATCCTTGTTTTAGAATACGTGACTGTGCCAGTATCTTTTGATTTGGTGCTTGTAAAATCAAATATTGTAGATTTGTGACGTCAAATATGCTTGGCCCGACCTTATTAACTTTGACCCTGACTTAATGTTTGACTGAATACTGATAGCTTTGACTCAAACTGAACAACTCATTTACCGGTTTATTGGTACAACTATTGTTTTTTTCTATGAAAATTGAATTATCAGATTTTCTTCTTATTGAGTCTGTGGAATATTATCTTTTCGACTATTAATTCATGAAGCCGTTTTTAAAAAACTCATTCGCTACTAGCTCATTTAAAAGAAGAAATTTTGAAACGTAAAATATTGTGACTAGCTTAAAAAAGACTGAACTAAAACAAAAACAGATATCGTTAAATTATTTGATTGATTGTTGGTTGCTTTATGTCCAGTGGCAAATATTTCAAACACGTTCAGAACGATGTATTGCTTAAAAGCAGTACTATTGATAAGTTCCGTATTACATCAAATTTGCTGTTGGCGTTCAGTAGGCAAACAAATTTAAAATAAAATTCAATACTTAAATAGTTTGTAGTACATACTCCGATACGATATTGTAATTCAAGTACATACATGGTCATTATGCTGTAAAAATGAACGTCATGTTTTTTTCTGTTTGATTGCTTAATCAGGACTGCATCGATGAATTGATAACCTCTAATAAACTTTTATTAAAAATCTCATGTGTTGTTTGAGTACCAAATCATTCCCACTTTCATTCTATATACGACAGAATTATCTTTGTACAGTCTGATGTTGTTAAATCCGATAACATTTTTCATTCAAATTTTGTTTAAATAAAAAAATTACTTACCTTTTCCTGTTTTCATTAGTATTTTTGCAGTATACCAACACTTGTCTGGATACCAAAATGCTTCAACAGAAGTATCAACTTCAAACTCCTATAACATAAGTGACAAATAAGCATCTTACAACTGCACAAAACATATGGACTCATGAAAGCGTTTATACCACACAGTGTATTTTTGTGTGCTTAGACCCAAAAAATTGACAGGGTTTTAAGATATGGCCGACTGGTCTCCACCCGTCCAGCAGTAAAAACCATGTTTAAATGAAGGTAAAATAAAAGGTGGCTTATTGCAAGGCAGCACTTCTTCCTCTATCTCACATACGTTTTTCCAAATGCAGGCTAAATAACCCCCTTTATTCTTGACAACGCAAAATTAAAAAAAAACTTATATTGGCTTATTATTTCAATGTTTTCGTGTCGTATATATGCCTGAGTATTATGCTTTTGAAGCTTACCCTGTATTATGTTTGTTAATTAACTGTTTTGTTGTTTTATTAATCTATAACTCAAATACGTATTCCATATCACACACGGTGTTCTTTTGTAAAAAGTATCAACTTGCAAATACTTAATCTATGACATTGATGTAAGGTTGTCTGCCTGTCTATTACTGAATTTGAGAAAAGACAAAAATAAAATCTTTATCGAGGACCATAAACTTTGACGACATGTTAAAATCAACACTTGCAAGTAAACGTAAGCATGGTTTAAAACGAACATATTTTATCTATAAAAACGAACTGTTAAATAATAGTATAAGGAAGGAAAAACAAAATCAGTTGCAAAAATGAGCTGAAATGATAAGTTGAGACAGTTGAGGGGGTACTAATTTACCAAATCCCGCTTTTTTGCAACATTTTCTTACCTCCCACTTTTGTTCGCTCACCTGGCCCGAAAGGCCCAGTGGTCTTTTCTCATCAGTTGGCGTCCGTCATTGTTGTCGTCCGTCGTTGTCGTCTTCTGTTAAGTTTTTAAAATATTTTCTCCTCTAAAACTACTTAACCAGATTTAACTAAACTTGGCCATAAGCATCATTAGAGTATTTAGTTTAAAAATGTGGCTAATGATCTCGCCCGCCAACTAATATTGCCGACATGGCTAAACATAGAAGATGGAAGAAGGGGACAAGTTTTGAGTTTTTTTTTCAAAATCGCCAGGGATAGAGAAAATCTTAGAGGGACAGAAACGTTCAGAATGTTGAGATTTTTCTACTGTCTATATACGCAAAAACTGTCATGAAGACTTCTTACATGTATCCTGTTGTTTTATACACTTTCTTTTGATTCTATTATGTACCTTTGAAGTCATTCTCCTCTTCTTTTTGTTCTTTTGTTCAAGTTGTCACTACTATCATTTGTTAGTTTTTGTTTTGGGGTCAAGAATCCGTCAGAAACCTGTAAATATATAAAAATATGTTTTTTATAATGTGATATTAGTAAAAAATCTTCTAATGACTATGGTACGTCAAAGTTACAATTACATACAGTCAATGACAGCAAACAAACTTAATATAGAAATCTATATTGAACAACTTTACATACACTCTAGATAGAATAATATATATAAGCTACGACAAGAATATTTATTTTAGCATTTACTAAAAAAACCCTCATTAATCGATATATTTCTGTAATTTCTGTCGCTTACACTAAAAGAAAAATGCCGTACTCAAATCAATAAATCTACCACATTTAAAGTTAATACCGTATTCAAATCAATTAATCTTCCACATTTATAGATCTTCCAAATTTAAAGTTAATACCGTACTCAAATTAACAAATCTTCTACATTTCAATTTAATACCGTACCCAAATCAATAAATCTTCTACATTTAAAGTTAATACCGCAATCAAATCAACAAATCTCCCACATTCAAAGTTAATATCATCGGTTCAACAAACAAAAAAATGACACTGTCTAAAGGACATTTTGTATTTTAAAGTAAATATAAGTAGGTAATGAAATTTACCATAGAGTCTACTTGGCTTTTGTGTTTTTCAGTAAATTCACATTTAATAGATTCTTCCAATTCCTGAACTTTCTTTTCTACACAAGCTTTTGTTTCTTCCTGCAAAAAAACATCATATTTTGCAGAGTTGGCGTTTTAAAAAAAAAATAAAATTAGTACTACTTTAATATCCTATATAAAGACATGTACATAACATATCATAAGATAATTTCTCGCATTTTTCTTTGTTGTCTCTTATATTAATCTAAAGCTGATAAAGATGTTTGATTGATTATGTAATGCAAGATAAAGATCAACAGACAATTGACTTCATATTTACAACTCTTTATGCATCATAATTGTGATCCAATAACTATGAGAAGTCTGTTGCAGAATACTATTCCTTATCTTCTTCCTCATCAACATATCTAACAAGTGGTCTTCTTAGAGCTATGACAGCCCTAGTACAACTATTACGGCACTAGATGTGCAGTTCGACAACTAATGTCTCTGCGGTGATTCCCAAGGACACAATATTTGAAAATCCAGAAACCAGGAACATGTTTATGCTACTAGTTTTAACTTCATTTTGTTAATAATTAATCAATGATGATGTTCTATTTTTAAGAATGTGTACATAACCTTTGTTAAATTTTCTTGTGTTAATCCGATCATTCAAGTAAGTCTTATTTTCATTTTGTAATTAATGCTAATGCTTGTTTTTCGCAATGTGTACCTGGCAGGAACATCACAACAGAATAATTGCTAACTTTTATTATGTTTATCAGGTCTTTTTAACCAATGCTGATATTTGCATTTTTTGCAGAATGTGTATTAGACAGGAAAATGAGAACATAACCATTGCTAATTTAACTGATGTGAAAGAGATCTTTGTTGTAAATGCTGATGTTTGTATTGTACAAGAATCTTCAGGAGTCTGTGTGTTTAACATCAGGAACAACACATGTTTGAAACTGAATTTAAAGATAAAAGAAAGCATTGAAAGGTACAAAATAGTTTAGATATAATAACAAATAAAACTCTTGTTCATCAGCCTTATAATCCCCTGAATTCATGATGGATAATTATATGGTTGATATAGCTAAATAGTTCTCACTTTAGTCCAAACAACAACCTCAGTTATATAGCGGTATTGTTCTCGCGTCAGTGGCTGTAAAGTATAGGTTTCATTCAACAGAAACTTTAATCTGGGTATTCGCTACATCTTATTTTGAAATAAGGAGAAAGTAGTACATAGACTACGCTCATTGAAATCCAAAACGTAACAACAGACACGGGCATAGCGAACGAGTTCTGATATTTAACCACCAACTTTCCCCTCTCTAACAAATTTAGTTTACTGTTTGTGTCATGTATGTGCATATAAATGTAAACAGAATCTTCAATAGATTGATTTCAAATAGTTTGAATAGTGTAATTTAGGCACTTTTTGGTGTTTCCTTGGCAACAATCTGCATTCGTTTCATCAAAATGATTTAAAAAGCGGATAGAAAATGTCACAAGTGTCTCTTACATGTGGTCGAAAGTTGAATTTCAATTCCTTTGAGTGAAAGCACATAAGTTACCTTTTCCAAAACCATTGACATTAATCAATCAAGAGATCAAACAAAAATCAAATACTTTTCAGCTCTTTTTTGTAAAAAATGACTCATAAAGTTTGTACGAAAAAGGTTAACATAACAATAACTTCTGGACCACTATGGAAATCAAATTGCTGAGTGTGAAACTGAAACTTGGTGTTCATATAAACTAGTTTTGAAGGCCATGTAGTAGTTCACTTGTCTAAAAATTAGTTTTATTGCACAATAACTTTCCTATATGAACATTCTATGTGGCCAAAATGCAAAACAACACCTCTTTCTTTGTATTGCTATGGAATGATATATATAAAAAATATATTTATCAGTTTGTCTTATCATGCCTTATAGTTTAGACCTTTCCATCACAAAACCGATTGGGTGGTCTCTTGTTAGCCATCTCGCTTTGTGTGTAAAATATTGTGGTATGATTTATGACGGGTTATAAATCAATAAATTTCTGATTTTCTGCTTTGCACGCGGCGTAAATAACGAGGGCTGGTCCGCTCGGGGTCAGAATAAAGTGTCCGGATAGGGAGATAAGTCTTCCTGTTGGTTCATTATTATTATTTTCCTGGTAAACCAATTTTTGTCTTGGAATTATTGGGCATAGGTTAACATCGAATTGATGTTCAGCAAAGTATACATTTTAAAAAGGCTTCGATACAATTTGTGCAAATGAACAACATCAAATACCCTGGAAAATACAAGTTATCCCTAATCCACAAACATTGGTACACACGGTAGAACAAAGAGCGTCATTTTTTGTTTTTTCCTTTCAAAAAGAATATTTAAAACAAAAATAGAATTTATCAAAAAATGAATTTATATGTACAGGCTACTTATGATTATTTTTCGAACATTTATTTTATCCACGTTAAAATAATTTGCGATTGAGTTTTTGTCCAGACTTAAAGCATGGTACAAAAAAAATTCTAGCAAAAAAGTTGTATTACAGTCTTTTGATTTCATTTTTAGTTTTTATGTATAAGTTAAGTCAATGTAAGATATATAGGTTTATAATAAGACCTTTCGTGTAAGTTCTTCATCAGTCCCAATTGTGGAATTGTTGATGTCAGTAAAGTAAATGATCTGCAAATACTACTTCGTACCAGATTTTCATATATGTTTGGATATCATATCATTATTGTTTATAGGGATATTTTAGTAAGAGATGAATATGTTATTCATTTGGCACACAACATAAGTATTCATATATTGAAGACAAAGATGATGAAAACTGATGAAAACATAATTTATAAAATTGTACTGCATGCCGAAACCTTGCTTTTGGTCCTTGAGATATCAGAACAACAAAGTAAACAGTAAGTCATTACAAAATAAAAGTTACTTTAAGATGAGAAAATTTCGCAAGCATTATATGTTTTTTTTTATATATTTCTTATATCATAAAGATTATTTGCAGGTGTAACGAATTCTTTGATTACACCATGATGGAATATCTTGTATCGTGATAACAGTTTTTTTTATGCTTTTAAGTAGAAATTTTTGTCAGGGTTGCGTCAAGTGCAAATACATTCTTATCATTGAATATTGAAAGACCCAAAATTAATTTTGGTGTTTCTCTCTCAAATATAGACGATCCGCTTACAGTGATGCCCTAACTTAGCAGTCTGCAAAGGGCTACGACAGTGTTTTGTCCCAATTATGCAATACCAATGAACGTTGACACTCTGATTTGTTCTTCGATATATTTCCACAGCAATGTCCAAAAAGGAGCGTTAAACATACACACTCACAGGTGTTTGCAAGAAGTCAAATTCAATTCCCTTATCTGAATTTGTTTTTTTCAAAATAAAATACATTGTTGAACTTTTAAAAACACGAACAACTTTTCATTATGTTTTGTAATAAAGCTTATGAAAATAATGTAAAAGAGGATTTTTTAAGTTTATAAGCTCGTTAGATGGTTTAGATAAATTTCTTGCTTAGATGGTCCTTTTAATTCGGATTGGTTTTGGACTCTGTACACAACACAATTCTTCAACAAAGGTTACCCTGATTAAATTGTCCCTTTGACATTTTGTAAATGAAAATTGATTCATTTTAACTTATATATCTATAACACACGTGATGATTTCAACTTCCCACTTGTCAACTTTTCATTTCTCAGAAGTAACATACCCTCGGCTCCACCGTATGGCGTTTACATATTTCAGGCAGTACGTTACGCTCGTGAATGTTATCACTATACATACTTTATTAACAGGGTGTGCTCCTTACACAAAAAAGGCCCCAACAGAGTTATGAGGAAAAACGACTGAAATCGACACTGCATAATTTGTGCGACAACCTTCACAATTTGGCAGACCGATACGATGTGTTGGTGTCTCAACTAACTAGTGACATGTTTCCTCGTTCTGAGATCTTTAGTTACTAGAAGAGTCGTCTGATCTTTAACTTAACCGATTGTGACATTTTAGCTGAGTGTAAATTCACATGATGGGTGATGCATGTATAGCAGGAGACGCTTAATTTATATATATATATATATATATATGAAAAATGGCAAATATGATAGATACACTTACTGGAATTGAGGTGAGATGATTCAAAGGATACGGACGGCATCAAGAGCAAATTCAAAACTTATAAGTCGAAGAGAAACTGACAATGATAACGCCATGGCAAAAAAAAAAATCTATAAAAAAGGACAAATAAGTCTAAAAAAATCTGCATAGCTCTATTAAAAGCTGTTTGTTATGTCACCATGACAACATCTATGAATATATCGATAACATAATTTATTGACTAGTTGTAAATAATATCCCTCGAAATTCCATTAAATCTAATAAAATTTACCGTACATGTTTTATTGATGACATTATTGCTTTCAATTATCAAGAACTTTCTTCGTACATTTACAAATTGTATATGCAGTATTAAAATGGATTATATCTGAGTTTACAGTATAATGCTGTTTTTTTTTAAAATTCTGTCTGCTTTAGGTTTTACGAAGCTTCGGTTACTATAGCAATACATCTGCCTGGTTATCCAACAGATTTCTGCTTTGTCAGCAGAAATGGTGAGTTTTCATTTACAATTACTTTTAAACATATGCAATACACCGCTTAGACTACTTAATGATAACTATCTAAGCAGAGGTAATGCAAAGTAGGTTTTTGTCTTTGGTTTCGATTAACGACGCATAAACATTCCACAGAAAATTAGTTATTTTCGAAAGTTCTAAATTCAGTTCACATGCGAAAATTTACTAGGGTGTCGTGTATATTCTGCAAAAACGCTTGGAGGGACAGGAACATACAAAACGAGGCTGGGTTTAACATTTGTGTAATTTTGCATCACTATAACCACCCTAATACAGTGGTCTTAAATGACAATAAAAGGCTGAACTCGTCAAATCTATCGTGATTTTTTCGTACTTGAAATAATTTCTGTATGACTGGTTCTTCCTGTATTTGTAAATTTATTTGGAAATAAAGAAAATATTTAATATCGAGTCAACAATTTGTGTGATTCCCTTCATCAAACTTTGTATATAGGGGAATTCGTTTAAATAAACATTGTATGCCTAATTAGTTTTAAAGTTTAGAACATAATTGTACGAACAAAAACAATGTTCCTACGAACATGACATATGATTTATTGACATCTAGACCGTTAAGTGTGTAACCCGGAAATAAACTGTCTTCGTGTTTCTGTCTTATGACCAAAACTAAATCAAGAAGTATTTTTTTACCAATTATTATTTAACAATAACACAACATTTTTTCATTACCTTGAGGGGGCCTCGATGGCCAAGTGGTCTAAGTAGTACAACTACAGTATCAATAGTCTGTCAGCATTGAAGGTGTAAGCTCGAACCCCGCACGTGGTAGGTGCGCTCGACTTCAATCTAATTTGACTAGGATTGTCAGTTTTCCTGTCGAAGGTCGGTGGTTCTCATCTCGCACTCCACTACGGTTTCCTCCATTAAATAAAACTAACCGTCACGAAACATTCAATAGTGCTGAAATTGGCGTTAAACACCAATCAATCAAACAATCAATCATTACATTGATGCTTAAACGGTGCTTTCAAATTTCATATAAAATTTAGGAAATTTTTATGGAATAACATACAAAAAAATCATTTACCAATTATTTTTGAAGCAACTTCTCTTTGGTATTTTTTATGCAATCATGTCACTTAATCTAGTGCAATGACTAGTTCATTTTTTCTCTTTTCAGCTGGCTTTTTAGTTTCTTGGAAACACGAAAAAGAAATAAGCCATAAGTATTCTAGACAGCATTTGTTTCATTTTTCCACTGAAGGTCAGCTATTAGGAATAATTCCATTCCTTGGTGATAGTCCATTCTCATTTTTCCCAGTCTTTCTGGATGGAGATACCAGCATACAGCAAAAATATCCAGGCTATGGAACAGCAGGGTGGTATGTGTACATGAGGGATGGTCATGGAGGAATATTGTGTGTTAAATTACTGGATTTTCATTAAAAGAACTCATAAACAGTTTTAGTTTGCAGTAAACAAAAACGAAAAGGAATATAATAAATGCAAAACCATATGTAATATATATTGCATTTAAATTGTTAAAGAATCCGTGATATAAGACTTGCATACAGGCAATTTTAACTAAATGCCACAATGACATAGTTGTATGATACATTTGTTTATTATTATATTGACATATTGGTTTATCGGCCGTGCGAGAGTCTCATGGATATGTTAGATCGTTAAACAGCCCCTAGTAAACATTTGTACTTTTCTATATGAATATTATGAACACAGAAATATTAGACTAGAATATTTTGTCAATGATTTGCATAGGATCTAACATTTGCCACACAAAAATACAAAATGCAATACTAGTATATACCCTTACACTATATTGCTAACTTAAATATATTTTTGCTCCAAGTTTTGAATGATACCTTATTAAATAAATAAAAAGTATTTTATTAATTGCTTTCAAATTGGCCAAAAGCAACCATTTATTAAATCATTGTAACCTCATTAAAATTGTTAAGTTTAAGAATACTTGAATGTTTGATAACATTTACAAGACAATAAAAAGTTTTTTTTGTTGTATAACAGAAACTGTTTTCTGTAAATGAATATGAAAAAGTAGCAAAGTAGTGAAGTTGGGTTTTCACGTTAAAACACATCAAACAACTGCCTTTTAAACTGAATACAAATTCTCAGACTTAACCAGATATACATAAATATGTCTCTTTATTTGATTGTCAAAAATTTTAAACACCACAAGTAGATTAGCTTCAAAGTATTTGGCAAAACCTTTCGGAATGTTTTGTTCTCAATGCTCTTCGTACTTCATATGGCCTTTTTTTATTCGAGCGTCACCGATGAGTCTTTATTAAAGACGAAAAGTTTGACTTGCGTATAAAATTATAAGCCTTGTATCTTTGATGAGTTTTGTTTGCAAGAGTCAACTTTTTTTTAAATATTTTAAATGACTTCCTTCTTACATTTGAAAAATATTGTGCATTCTATACTATACAAATATTGCGATAGCCTATAAACACTATTTTTTGAAATATAAGACTTTGCTCCAAATTACACAACATTAACTAACCCAATCAAGAACACCGTTTACAGTCAATTTGTCGTAATATCCTTGTTAATATATGTCAACATTGTTCTAAGATCCTTCAGGGTACCAGATTTTGAAATCATATTGCTGAAGGGCAAGAGACCCAAGCAAAAGTTTCTTATCTGTTTCAGTAGGTACAAGAGTAACGGATTATGGTTCCATTCGAAAATAAGATTATATTGAAGTTATTCATATTGTAATTTATGATCAGATAAAAACTTTATTTCATTGATAGCGTTTGATTTTGCGACTTGTTATGGACTTCCCCTTTTTGAATTTGTCTTGAGTTCCTTATTTTTGTTATACTTTTTTTATATAAGAAATGATCCTCATTAAATAACAAACTAACTACATAAAATATTAAAGCAACTACATACCAAAATGAAGTAACTAAATACTTTAATCAGGTAAGTGGATTACATAATTACAAAACGCATAATATGATAACGAAAATGCATAAAATAAAGAAAAATAATTACATATATTTGTTAGTAATGTCACAGAAAACCACTACCCAACACATTAATGTTCCCTATGTACCTTGATACTGTCTAACTGATTTCATGAAGGAATTATTTCGTTAAAATGTTGTTTTTGTCTTTGTTTAAATGTCTGTATTACGCAGAGGAGTCCGGCTGGTGGTTGGAATGGTCCATTATACTGTCTAAAAAAATTTAGTGATTTGTTTAAATGTTTATGTACTTGTATTATTCAATAGATATTTGTCTGTAAAAGACAGACTAACAATAGTTTCGAGAGATGAGATACATGTATTATATGTCACCTCTACTCTATTGCATACCAAAACTGAACGGACGCGGTATGAAGTTAAAAACAGGTATGGCGGGATACAATCATTGAAACAAATACAACATGTGAAGCCAGAAAAAAAACCTAAGTGGACAACAGTTGGAAAACCGATAATTTGTTTGGATTTTATCACAAGAATCGGAATATTTATGATTACAGAAGAAAAACATTGTAAATATGATATGTTTAAACTGAAATCTTTTATGTATTGGACTTTTAATTTTCGCTCATTATTTACGATAATGACCTGTAACCAAAATTAAATGTACAATTACAACTAGGGAAGTAATTCAATATTAAATGGAGCTAAAGTGTTAAATCGTTTAAAGCTTTGTATAGGGCAATATTAAATTGTACACCACTATAAGTACGTGTTTGTTACCTTTTGTGAAATTACGAATCAGGAAGTTATCCCTTTAAAATGTTGTTCCTAGGGTCAGTACTTCATTCTTTTCTTTTAATGAACAATAACATGGCATATCTAGGTTGCACTTTGTAAATACAACTGTTTCTCAAACCACGCCTCTTTTGGGGAGATGTATAATATTCATAGATATGTTAATTTGTTAACGTACTGGTTCCCATTTATGATCTCTGTGTTTCATCTCATAGAGACATCACTTGGTAATGTAACCAGTATAGAAAGACATGGTAGCACCTAAATTTTAATTCTTAGGAGGTCCAAATATGGAGGTAAGGGTAGTATACAATTTTAGTACAATTTTAAACTCTTAGAAGTTCAGGGCATATAAATGTTGAAAATATGCCGCACAGCCCTATATTTTGACCTTTGAATAAAATAGTAGTGCATATAAACTTTCTGTTCTGGGATATTATTTTTCACGAAACTTCATAGTAAAAGTGTCACAGTTTCAGCCGCAAAGGAAGTTCCTATGGGAAATTGCATTGTCTATATTTACAGAATTGCAACCTATATAGGGTTAAAAAATAGAACATACAGATTTTCACAAAATCTGGTTTATCTCAGAGATTTAAAAGAATTTAACTGAAATATGAAGTTTTATAAATATTTCATGAAGATTGAGAAAATCCTGAGCCTTAACTATGATGACTCAGCATAAATTCACAGTTTACAGTATGCATGGTTTACTTAAAGCCCTGAATTCAAAATAAATTCATAATATATGCCTATTTGTAATTTAAAAAGTTTAGAAGTGCTTATATTTACTCTTCGCAGTCATTGCAACTCATTGATCCTTCCTAAATATTTTTGTTGGGGTGTTTTTGTCCTGTCGATAACCCAAAAGTAAGCCGTAACACCTAAATGTGCTTTTTTGTGACCGCGGCATTAAAAAGTACAAGCTAGAATTACAAAAAGACCTCAATAAAACTTACAATAGTGTGTTCTATCCTAAATATATACTAAATATTCCACATTGCTAGAAACAGGGAAAATATTTAGAAAATGTGAGGCCCCAGGGACAAAAAACAGAAAAAAATGCCTACCCCTGGGTCATAAAACAGATAATTTAACTTTTAAATGCTATGATTTTATTATTTTCAAGGTCTTTTGTAAAGAAAACAATAACTGTGCTGGGAAGTTATGCAAAAGTAAGATGTAAGCAGTCATTTCTATCAAACTTTTAGTGGATTTATGCACCAGACTGATATCTTCTTAAATACAACTTTTGCAAATATGGCTTTGTTTAGACACTTCTAGTTCATATATTAACTAACTTATGTTAGATATATGGTTAGGGATGATACTGTTGAGACCAGAATTCTTAACTGACCATTTGAGACAGAAATTATGAACTTTCACTGACACAAAGGCATTCAGTAAGATGTGGACTGGAGACACAGGCAGGATTGGATACTTTGTATAATCTTGAAAGTTGGAATGATTAACTACTAAACAATACACTTATAGTATTACAAAATGCTTTCAATTTGTTATCAGAATAGTTTCAAACATGTTTTAGACAGTTCATGTCAGAAAACATGCACATAGGGTAAGCTGGCATTAATTAAAGTCTTGTTTTCAAATTCTTTAAAATATTGAAACAGGGGTAGGGGTATAAAATATACTGTAAAAGGAAACTTAGAGTATATGCAGTGATTTCTTTAAGGCTATAATTCTGATAAATAAGTATTGTTGTGAGAAAAAGTGTTTTTAGAGAGTTTTCTATTTGAATAAATGTTTGTATAGGTTGCACTTTGTAAATACAACTGTTTCTCAAACCACGCCTCTTTTGGGGAGATATATAATATTCATAGATATGTTAATTTGTTAACGTACTGGTTCCCATTTATGATCTCTGTGTTTCATCTCATAGAGACATCACTTAGTAATGTAACCAGCATAGAAAAACATGGTAGCACCTAAATTTTAATTCTTAGGAGGTCCAAATATGGAGGTAAGGGTAGTATACAATTTTAGTACAAGTTTAAACTCTTAGAAGTTCAGGGCATATAAATGTTGAAAATATGCCGCACAGCCCTATATTTTGACCTTTGAATAAAATAGTAGTGCATATAAACTTTCTGTTCTGGGATATTATTTTTCACGAAACTTCATAGTAAAAGTGTCACAGTTTCAGCCGCAAAGGGAGTTTCTATGGGAAATTGCATTGTCTATATTTACAGAATTGCAGCCTCTATGAGCCTTTACAAAATGCGAGTACTCAAAAGTCGGTACTTTGCGTATCAGTTTGGTCTTTTTATTAGTTGGTTTTAAAATTATGCTGCGCTTAGTACCGATCTGACGGGTAAAACGTTGTCAAGTACATGTTACTAAAAGTTTATAGTTTCTTCAAATACTAATGTCATACGACTTCAAATACTATAGATTATAATATGCCAAATTGTATGCAAACTTATATGTGACTTCTCACTGATATTAGATTGATTCTACATATTTGCCTATTCCTATTTCAAAGTATAAAAGGAGTATTAGCTACAATTAACACTAACAAATAAAATATATTGGTGTTTTTTCAAACATTTATTAAAGCTGAATTGTGACATAATTTTTCTTTTTAACTGTCAGTTTGGTACAATTTTGTCGCTGATATATTACAAATGTGTTATTGGCTTGCAAGTCAATTATGCAATCTCATTTGAATCCGTATTCATGCTACCTTCAATGAAATCCCTAGCTGGGTCACGTCATTAAAATGATTAAAATGTCAGCATGGAAACATGAAACAATGGAGCCTTCGGGAAGAACCATTTCGTTGACTAATTCTACACAAAACAAAATCAATCTTATAGGTAAAACGAGGAATTACATATGTTTTTAAATCAATGACATGAAATCAAACAGACCTAGGACAATCGTTAGTATACGATTCCACGTAGTAGTATTTTGAATCGGTTTTGATATTGATATTTATGTTTACATCAGGTCATATGACCATTCGCCATTGTTCGGATATCATCTCTAAGGTTTATTAGATGGCGGCTAGTCTAAGATACACACAAAAGGCTAATAGATTATTACGAGCCCGTGCATTGCAAACTGTTTCGCCAGGACTTTTTGTAATTTGAATAAATGTTTTGGTATATTATAAATCAAATT